ATGTAAATGTGTGTGTGTGTGTGTGTGTAAGAGGTAGGATAGGTCAAAAACAAAAAATCGCGCGCGGTCCGTAACCCGTTTGGAAGCCATTTTCCTGGCGTTGATCGGAGAAAGTACGGAAAGCTGTCACAGCAGCCGGTCGCTAGAGTTCTCCTCCAGACAGCGACAGCGCGACCCAACTATTAAGCTATTGCCAAAAATTCTGCTACTCTCGGGAGTCGATTATAAGGCATTCCGGTCAAGGGCACCGCAGTGATATCGGTTGATGCTCTGTGCCACATCTCCCGCTTTGTCCTTCGGAATTAAAAGGCGATCTTTACCGCAATGTGAGCGCCCGATAAGGAATTGACGTACGATCTTTGTCATTCGTTATCATCACCTTCACAACGTTCCTACTCGATGCGAGCGCGTATTGCGCGAAGACAAACCTCCGTGACAATATAAAAATGCATCCTTCTATGAAATAAGACAATATCACTTTCCAAACATACTTCGAAGAAAGTCATCTTTTTTTGAATTGAACTGAATTTGCCTTATTTTACGTGGCGAGACTCGGGCCATCAGGCCCGCTCTTCCGTCTGACCACACAAATTTCGCTACGCTCACGCTACCTTTCACCAACTAGGAGAGAAAGGAGGTATTTCTTGGGCGTGAAACAGGCGATTTGAATTTAGCTCAGAGGCGTCATTTAGGCTTGAGGATCTTTTACATGCAAGTAAATCTACGAACATGGGACAGCCGGCTTTACTTCCCCTCCGAAGGAAGGCGTACGAAGGATTTTTTCGCCTTTAAAAATCCACGGTTTCGATCGGGTTTTAACCCGCCAACTTGGGTACAACAGTCCAGTACGCTAACCGTTACGTTATCTTTTCATGTGTTAAACGGAAATACGCTTATCCCATATTTAGCAATTAAAGTTAGCAAGAAATATTCGTGCTCACATATATTCATCATCCACACACGCATACATTCACGCTGAAACACACGCATTATGATTGAAGATATTTTACCAAAATCGTATTGTTTTTAATTTACACCGAAACCTTATTAAAAACATCACTAAAACAAGCTGGTGGTGCAAAAAATACGTTTTGAAATTCAGTAACCCAGCCAGCCAGCCCAGTAAGCCAGCAATTGGTTGAAGGTTTACTTGAGAAATACACAGATTTTTAAGCGTTCTTAGAAAACTGAGCGACTTCGATTAGTGGTGTCGCCTTGAGATATTTCTTATAATCCATCATTATTACTTAAACATATCGTACTGAGTGACTACGTGCACGAATTTTGTGTCTCAAAATCCAGGCTCAAATTCGACTAAAACTCTCTAAGAATTTTTTATCAACTGGCTCTCTCCCAATAAATCAATCAGATACTAAAGACCCTACATGGACGCAGACCTCAATTGGAAGCAGCATATCAATGCTAAATCACACAAGCCAGAATCAAGCTAATAGAATTAAAGCCTTTAATACGCAGATCCAGACCATTATCATACAATTCAGCTCTACAACGCAACAACATCAAGACCGTTGCTACTATACGTCTCCCCAATATGGTTAAACCCAACATCAAACAACTAAAGAAAACTGCGAATAGTACAAAATCAATTTCTAAGAATTATTTTAGACGCTCCCTAGTATGTCACCAACAATCAGTTACATAAAGAATTCGACCTAGAGACTATAAACCATCATATCACCTATCTAGCTACCAACCTCTTCTCAAACATAAATCACAAATTCCTTTACTATCAGTTCATAGACCCGGCCAAAACCAAAAACTTTACGCAGATCAGAATACAAAATAAGTTTCCCTTTAACATTTTCCTCAAGAAATTCTCCGAACTAAATCGACTATAGGAGCCCAATGGGTAACCTCAACCTCTGTATTTAAGTTTTAATTTAAGTTATCTTTTAAGCCATCCAACACATGTTTAGTTAATTTAAAATGAGCTATATATTCAACATCTGTGTAAATAAATAAAAAAACAACTTAAACAGAAGTAAACGTATACTTTCGGGACCACAAAATACGAATGTAATATCAAAATATATCTAGAAAGTGCATGCTTCTTTCTTTCGTGGGCAAGTGGGAGCGTTGAGATGAGAGAATCAGATCGTGGTTGCACTAAAGAATTGAATTGATGCCTTATTTCACGTGGGGAGACTCAGGTCACCAGGCCCGCTCTTCCATCTGACCACGCAAATTTCGCTACGCTCCTTTCACCCACTAGCGGAGAAAGTTAAGTTAGTATTTCTTGGACGATGAAACAGGTAATTTGAATTTAGCTCAGAGGATTCATTTAGACTTGATTTTTTACATGCAAGTAAATCTACTAACACGGGACAGCTGACTTTACTTCCCCTCCGAAGGAAGGCATAGAACGGATTTTCTCGAACTTAAAAATCCACGGCTTCGATGGCGTTTGAACCCACAACCAGTCCGATTCGCTAACCGTTACACTATCGCCGCCGCTGTTCAAGACGTCATGCTGATGCCGACATTTCCACTGCACGCGATGACTTTGACAGCTTTCAACTGCCAAACGTTCTTTTACACACAGTTTTGTCAGTAAACAAACATTATAGCAGTATAATCGTATTTATCGACCTCCAACATGCAACTGTGACAATTTCATTGAAAATGACTGAAAATAAGAGTATTATACTCATCATTCTCCATAACTTTAAACACACTATCTTGTAAAAATTTAACGTTGCCACGAAACAGGCTATAATTTTTTTCCTTTTTAGCTTATTTTTTAAGCATTTAAATTAAGATTTTGTGGTAAACTAAAATAAATGTCGACTTCATAAAAAAAATCATATCTGAATCAAAAATCAAATAGAGTTTATGAATTTTATTAAGCTTACTTTCATAGTAGGCAGAGAAAAGACATGTGACAAAAACACTGAACATTGACAGAATACGAGAAATATAAGTACTTTATGAAAAGTTTGAACGTACTTACCGTTCTACTAGCAACTCGGCATGTTTTCAATTTTTTTCTTCTCCTTGGGGAGACTTGGGGAGATGCTGGTACATTGATAAGTACCGACTCTCCTTCTGTTGCATTTACAATGTCGTTATTTCTAGAGCAGTTGATAATTTTGAAATGCATCAGACAAATTATCAGTATTATAGTTTTGACAAATAGAATACCGAGAACAATGAATCCAACGAGCCACATACATGAACATTCATTGGTCTGGTTGTTAGTATTTTCATTATTGGAACCTGTTGAGGAGCTTGTGGGTACTTGTTGAGTGGTCACATCGGAAGCGTAATCTTTCGTAGTCGTTGTCAGCGAATTGTATGCTTTCGGATCGGGTGTGGTAACAGAGGGCGTGGAGAAACTTTCCCCCTTTTCACTCGTTGCATCAGCGATTCCATGCTCTTGATCACACACCAATGGACAGGGAACATCACAAATTTTGCCAAGTCTTTTAGTACAGGCGTTTAAGCATTGTTGCCTGTAATTGTCTTCAAGATTAGAATTTTCATGTCCATCTAAATTTTGAGGATAACTCCGTTTATGCGTATATGTTACAATATCGACTTCTTGCGTGCATCGATAATGAACATGAATGCTGGACTTAAGCTTATCAAGCAAGTCACTATTGTGATACAAATCTACCTGACTATCAAGATGAAGTTCTTTTGGGAATAACTTCACGTTGGAGAATGTCAAGTTGTCAACATTTTCTATTGGATTGTCAAGTAACAGTAGTACTAACTTACTCGATGAAAAAGCTTGAAAATCTAGAATTTTGATATAATTTCCACTCAAGTCCAGTTCTGCTAAATTAACAGGAAACGTTCCAGGTATAATTGTTTCAATGTTGTTTCGGGTCAGCTTAACCGTGTCCAAATACTTATTTCTTTCGAACAATCGTTTTGGAATGCTTTTCAAACCCGCATTGTCGATGACTATCCTTACAAGACGTCGTAGGTGTCTCAGAGCAAATTCACTAATTTTAGTCAAATTTACGTCAGTAATGAACAGAGATGTCAAAGTAGAACATTCTTCAAAATCAGCGTCAACTATTTCTGGTTCCTTAAGTTCACATTTCACGATTATGATTGTGTCGATTTTAGAAGCGTTGCTTACTTGACCGTTTATGAGAGGGTGTTCAAGCTGTTGACCATCACAACGAATATTTCTCTCCTTACAATCACATTTGCGGCAAAGAGCTGACGACTGAAGAAACAGTTGTAGAAGAAATACCGCACAAAGCGTTTCTCGCAACATAACGCAACACGAATGGCGACACTGCACTAGTTCAAGACTCCTTTTTCCTCACAAACTGCTTTTGTTTCGTGCATCGCTGTATCTTCCTGTTATATTTCTCGAGACAAATTAAGAACAGGTGTTTTCTTATCAAGAGAAGATCGACGACCTACCCAAGGTTTTTGACTTCTTATCTACTCCGCTTCAGAATATTGTCTTGAAGATATCCTGATAGCACTGAGCTCTCGGAAGTTTTAATAAAGATACAATTGTTTGTTTTTTTACTTTGCAATTCGCATTGTCTCTATCACAGCACGTATACTATATAGCCGAGTTTCATGAGATTTTACTCAATCTTTCTTTAGAAGAACGCCACCGTATATCAATGAAAATATTATTCTTTTTAATGCTGGTCATGGCAGATGCACTGCCCCGGGTACGACACGAAGCATATAAGAGAAAACCACTGTCGCTCTCTGCAAGGAACTTGTGTGAGATTTGCAGCTGCACCAACGTAGATGTGTTTTGCAGGGCTTTGCACGATCCTTCTCTTCTGCAGCATTACGAAGGCACAAACGTAGAAAGCTTGTCTATTTATGACAGCAACCTCTCCACCTTACACGAGGAACATTTTGTCAAATTCAGAAATATCAAAGACCTATCTCTGATTTCCAACGATCTGGTCATAAATTCAACGGAACTCGGGCTGCTACAAGACTTAACAACTCTGAACCTGGAATCAAACTCTCTGGAAACCTTTGCTGACGGCATGTTTGATGGAAACACAAACCTCGTCAAGCTATCCATGAGCAAGAACAGAATATCGCACATTGCTAATGGCACTTTCCCAGATTTGAGACGAGTCACAACTTTGAGGCTCGACCACAACCACATCAAGGGCATGGAGCTCCAGGCCTTGCGTGGTCTGCCGGCACTGGAGGAACTTGATCTGAGCTACAACCTTCTGGACCACGTCCATGCCGCGTGGTTCGACCCATTGCCGAGGTTGCAAACTCTGCGGTTGGAACATAATAAGGTCAGTGCATTTAATCTTGTTGATGAATAAATGTGAATGTGTATTCTTGCATTTGGGTAATGCAACGTTTAGTGTATGTCCTGTGAAACATGCGCGTGAATGAAATGAATGCATTTATTTGAATTCTTAACGCGTTGAGGGGAAAAGAGACCGGATTCTTTAAATTGTAATAATTTTCATGCCTTCAACTATGGGAATCCCTTTACTCTTGGGGTTGTTTTACGAGTTTTTTCGGCTTTTTTTCATTTTATTTATTATATTTATTTAATAGTTAATTACTACGCGTATGGATTACATAACTTGATACTACGAAGCTCGGCCGAAGAATTCATCAGAATATTTACATTCTATCGCGTTCTAACTGTTCGAGTTCTGGTATGTACTTCAAACGGTCTCTCCATCGCATCAAAGCCGCGGAAAAGAGACCATAACGTATGGCTGAGGAAAAATTCCTGAAGAAGGGAAAATATTCGCTGTCAGAAGTCGAGTAAACAATAATGTACTAAACTTTTTCTAAACTATTTATGTATTTCCTGTCGCGGACGTCACACATTTTCCTTCTAGCCTTTAGGGCCCCTTCTCACGCCGCCACCGCTGCGCGCTTCCAAATACCTCGTCTCGTAGCACAGCATTGGTTTGATTGGAGACTATCCCACGTGCGGCTATGCCGTCTCGCTACGCGAAGCGGAGCAGGGCGTACGCGCCACCGCTAGCAGAACGCAGCTTTAAGGGCCCCTTCCCACGGCGCGGCCGCGGCGCGCTTCGCAGCAGCGCGGCGCGTAGCAGAGCATTGGTTTGAATGGAGGCCTTCCCACGTGCAGCAGGTGGCGGCTGCTGCGGCAGCCGACGCCGAACTCCAACTACGGGAAGCGGAGGAGGGGGCACGCACCACCTCTAGCAGAACACAGCTTTAAACGGGAGCGTTCCCACTGCGCCGCGGCCGCAGCGTTCTACCTGCTCCGGTCCCTTTGTTCATCGTCGCCGGAGGGTCGGCGAAACCTTCCCCTCCAGACCCTACCCCCTTCCACGGCGGGCGGCGGTGCGGCCGTGGCTCCGGCGGTGGCTGCGTCGGAAGGGCTCTGCTCCTTGAAGGAAGCGCGCCGCGGTCGCGTCGTGGGAAGGCGCCCTAAATGGTAGCCTTCCCACTGTGCCGCCGGTCGCTGCGTTTTATCTGCGTCGGTCCCTTTGTTCGACGTCGCCGGAGGGTCGGCGAAACCTACCCCTGCAGACCCCACCACCTTCCACGGCGTGCGGCGCGCGGTGCGGCGTGGCGTGGCGTGGCGAACAGCGGTTGCGGCATCGGAAGGGCTCTGCTGCTTGATGGAAGCGCGCCCGTGGCGAAAAGGGATTAATTGAGCAGTGTGACATAAAACATGATATTATTGATGATTTGAAGGATTCATAAAGGCGTATTATGTTCGTGTCTTTCGAGGTGTACTAAAAATTCTATGATTTATAAAAATAATTACATTACTCTGTCTCTCTCTCGTACGGCGGAGGCTACCGTACTCTTCGCTGCATGGAGTTGTACTGCACGCTACTGCCGGAACTGCCTTCCCTTTAGTGATGGCATTCATTACAATATTCCATTTTCATGGCATTCACTACATTATTCCATTTTCTGGGGATTTTGAAAGAGCCGTCTAGATAATTGCGTTCCACCAATCACAGCGCAGATACCGCCACAACTGGTGAACGATATGAACGATTCAACCATGATTCAACGAATCAGTCTGAAAAGTAATCGTACTACCGGTTCTATCAACAGCTGGGGGCCCTCCAGATGCCTTCACTACTAGGAAGGCAGTTCCCGCAGTAGCGTGCAGTGCAGTTTCAGGCAGCGGAAAGTACAGTAGCCTACGCCTTACGAGATAGAGACCGAGTCAGTAGGAGAGAGTCGTCGACGATGAGGCTACGAGATGGCACGGAGAGAGAAGACGACTTCGTGGGAGTGGGAGAGTCACCAACCCTCACCGGAGACGGCCCAACTGGGGCCGCAGCCCTTGCAACGATGGCAGGAGGTGACGGCTGAGCAAGGGGTCACTGCAACTTGGGGCTTCCGCTCTACACGGGCGGAAGGCGCGACAAGAGACGCGACACGCCGCTGAGAAGTGGCAGCTATGCATGAATTGCTCCCCAAAAAACTACCAAAACATGCAAACAAGTACGGAACAAGTATGCATTTTTTAAACGAAATTTTCATGGAACATGTATTCACAAAGTTTGACATCCCTACGAAGCTTAAATACAAACATGCATTTGCATGGAAATCCTGTCTGTACTAGTCAGTCAATCTCATCGGACGTTATTTACTGATGTGCTGATGGCGACGTTCGAATCAACACTGATGCACCTAAAGAATGTTGTGAAAACCGTATCTTTCGCTCACTCAACAGCCACTTTTTATTATTATTATTATTTATTATTATTATTATTATTATTTATTATTATTATTATTATTGTTATTCTCTAAATTTCTCCATCCACTTCATCTGACATCAGACACTAATGAACCTTTGCTACCCCTCTCCGATGTTCCTTATTTCTCATCTGACGTCGTCGACTGGTGCGCAGGTGGCGACGTTCGGGACGCCCCTGGTGAAACTGGCGGTGCGCCGCGCGCTGGCGGTGTCGCTGGCCGGCAACCCCGTGCGCTGCGAGTGCGGGCCCGTGCACGACGCGTGGCAGAGTGCGCACGCGGCACGCCTTACCCTCGACGTGACCTGCGCGCACGGGCAGCCCTGGAGTCAGGCACTGGCGACCTTGGAATGCGGGGCGGAGGCGGCGGAGGCGGAGGCGGCTGCGGAGGCGGAGGTGGCGGCGGAGGCGGCGGCGGCGGCGGTGGCGGCGGCGGTGGTTGCTCGATCCGCCCCGGAACCGGGCCACGCCCCTATTCTCGCCGCCTCCGTCGTCTACGTAATTTGGGTCATTGTCGCTCTTTGCACCCTACTGTCTATTGCGATGATTATCGTTGTCCTGAGTGTGTGGAGGAAGCCATCTATTTGTGAGAATGAGATTACGTGTAGTGATGTTGAACCACATTACGAAACTCTTGACTAGCATGTGGCTCTATATTGCTTTTCTTTATTTATTTACTTTGTGATCGCCGCAGCGTATACACAAATGAGGCTCAGTAGATTCGGAAGTGTAAGGTTCGACTACTTATGGGCTGATTTTGCCACGAGATCAATGTTTGTGGCGGCAACTCTGTCTCGATGAGAATTATAGCTACAACTAACTTGCCCTATCAGTTCCAGGTGAATGTTGGAGAAGTAATTTAAGCAACGAGCCGCAAGCCGTGTGTGAACTTTCTTTTCTCGTTCTGCCCCTCCCTCGCCCTTAGGGCTGGATCGATATGTTTCTTTCGAATCTTTCATGTGGGAGAGGTGAGGCAATTAATCGGTAGTGATAGCTCATAGTTATCCATAGCTATAAAGAGAGCTTCTACGGTTACACGACCTGAGCTCTCGACGTGGCTCTGCATGTGCCCAATTGTCATTTTCTGGGCTTGAATCCATAATTGTACGAGGGAGGTATGACACATTCACCTCTAGTTTCTTAGGAGAGACGTTTAATACCCTTTATGCGCATGAGAAACATTGTATAAAATATTATTGGTAATTTATTTTGTATCACGTTTTGTATATATTCTCAAAAATAATTCGTGTAAATAAATATTTTTTTTTATTTTATTTTTTTCAAAATAGTATCATACGTTTTAATCATACTGGTATTACTGGCGATAATTTTTATTTTTAAGAAAATGGATTGCTTAAGACACTTATGGGAAATACTTATATTGTTAATAAATATTATTATTGCTACATGTAAAAAGCACAAATTAAGGGCGTTATATCAATGGTTAATATGGCAGAATAAGACATTAGAATTTTACAATTAAACAAATTATGCTGAAGGTGGGAATGATGTTGTTTTGACTGTCTACTTGACTACTTCGTGATGAAATCTTGAAATATTTCTCAATGCATTCAGGAAGGGATCGGTCTAAGTCTGTTAAAATACAAAACTTTATCAAAAATAAACACGTTGTTCTACATATACCAGGTACTCAATGTATTAAGGCCGACGTTTTAACGTTTTTCAGAGATTCTCCGCATTGATTAGTCTCGGGAGATAAAAAAAGCGAGCTCGAGAAACCTTACTTTTAGGCCGAGAACCATACACCTATTTTTTACGCTGTTCGCCAACAAATACAATTTTCTACTCGAGAAAAAATTCAAACTTTGTTGGTTTCAGAAACTATAATATTGACAAAAGGATTAATTGAACATGAACTGATTTCATTGAATAATTTATTTTTAATTAAATAGCTTCATGCCCTTTTAATTTTTCAATAAGTTATTAATAAATTAGTTAAAGGTTCTACTATATCACAGCATATTGGTGCAATGACGAAAAGTTAGGATGTCAAAGATAAATAATCGAAATTAATAAAGGGAAGAAATGAGTAGTCCTTATACCATACAAAATGTTTATTAGCAAAACTTGTATCCTTTCGTGTCAGCACGTCGATCTATGGACAATACCAGCACCAAAACCACACACATGATTTCCCGAAAAAATATTATCCTGTCAATCAGACCCAATTAAAGGTCCTCCATATGTGAAATGAATCTCCAAATGTTTCGAGATACCTGAAGCCCATGGGATACTTTCAAAGTATCAAAAATTGGTTTCGAGTTTTCACATTTTTTCTCGAATAAAGCAATCTACGATGATAAATTGAGTTCCTATTTTCGATTAAAACTTTTAAAATTTTTAAAACTTCAAAGGGCATCGTCAATGTTATTTTATTTTTTTGCATTTTACAATTGAATGTACTTGTAGGCAAAAGTTCTTCAAATGATATATGAGGCTTATGAACATTTTCTGTTTTTTAGTATAATAGAGCTCAAATCGATGGATTTTTCAGACACTCAAACAACTGGCGTGGTGAAAATTCTAAGTCATAAGTGAAGTTGTGGGGTCGAAAATTATACCACCAAAAATGGATAAAACTAACCACTTTATTAGTTATATATTTTGAATTTATATATGAATAATGACAAATATGAATAATAATGAAGAACTGGACCAGAAATACTATGAAAATATTTAATAACAATTCATAAAATAATTAAAAGAAACATTTCTTTAGAGTTACTTTAGAGGTAATAAAATGAATAATACTCATGAAAATATTTAATAACAATTCATAAATTAATTAAAAGAAACATTTCTGTAGAGTTACTTTAGAGGTAATAAAATGAATAATACTCATGAAAATATTTAATAACAATTCATAAAATAATTAAAAGAAACATTTCTGTAGAGTTACTTTAGAGGTAATAAAATGAATAATACTCAATGATAACACTGATCACACTCTAACATCACATAAGTATAATCATAAATTTGCTAACAAATTGATCATCTGATTATTATAATTTAATTTACAAGTTTGTAACCACCACATTCTCTGCACATAACGCATCGACATGACTGGCACACTAAGCGATCACAACTAACGCAATATTGATGTTTTTTCACTTGAACGAGGACACAAACAAGATTGCTTTCTTTTCGGCTCTTGGTGGCCTCTTTTATTTTCTGGTAGACGTTTCTTCAAAATACGGTAAATTGTCAACCTGAGTTTCTTTGGAAGAAGGCTATTTAGTTTCGTCTTTCATTCACACATGATTCTGCAAACTGTCTTGCCAGCGTTTTCAAGAACTCGAAGCGTGTGATAGGGCTATACTTCTTAAAGGATGTATATAGTGCATAACTGTGTACAACAATAATGTTTAGAATTGCATAAAAATGGTTATAGGCCATCCTACGGTCTATCTGCTTCTGCTGTGCTGTTCTGATGTTACGCACTTCTGATCAAGTGTATCTACTCCCTCTTTTGTGCAATTGTAGAAATACATTATTTCTAGAGTTCCTGTTTCAGGATCTGTACAGTTTGCTTAACGCGTAATAGAGACTAAAATAACTGATGAAGCTTTTTTCCGAATATGAGAAATTAATGTACAATCGTCTGTAAAGCCTTACTGACATGCCCTTACTTCGTTTTCTCTTTGGCAGAAGTTCTGGTGCGATCTCTCATTTATTTTTCCGTATTGTCTCTACATATGGAAGTTTTTCTTCTTTGAGATGGGACACTAACTTCATGGAGCTGAAGTAATTGTCGACCGTAATATTTTTTGCTACCATAAATAGGCTTTGCTTATCGCAGCGCCGACTGTGTTGGTTTTAACAGCTTTTGAGCTTCTGAATCCAAAACTACTCCATCAGTGTCTTTTGAAGCACATATGTAGGCATTTGAAAAATAGTTAATATTCTCAGCTGAAAAATCATAATTTTATGTCCATATTTCTCCGGTTTACTAGCAAATAAAACTCGAAATCTACAACGAAATCTTAGAAAGAACGGCACGAAAATGCCCGTCCCATATGTAGGGAAAATAGGGACAATGCGGAAAAATAAAAGAGATTCAACCAGAATTTCTACCTATCAGAAAACGAAAATTAGGGGAATGTCAGTATGGATTTACAGACGATTGTACATTAATTTTTCATATTCCGAAAAAAGCTTTATCAGTTATTTTAGTGTCTAGTATGCACTAAGCATAATGTATAGATTCTGAAACAGGGAAATCAGAAGTTTCTTCCAGTTCCATTTGTAGCAAACATTGATTCAAAGTTTTCATGATTTGAATTGAAAATTCGCGAGTAATATAGGAGACCGAAGAGTGCTGAAAGTTCTGTTGCGTTTGCTGAATATTGTTTCTCTCAATTCCGTACGCGTCTCATGAACAAATTTTGATCGTGAAGTAATTTTTATAATCGTATTAGTAACGATTTCATCTATCGTGTCATTTGTAAATAAACATTCCGATGATTGTAAAGGATTGCCATTATTTCCCAAATTTTTCGCGCCCTTCCTTTGTATGTAAGTACTTTTATCACAATATTACGGGACGGCGCGTTCGTTTGTTTTTATTCGGTCCAGTAATAGACCATTTACACGCTGTCGTACCATAAAAATATGATGAATTATCTCCTTTTTAATTGACGATCACTTTCTTCTCCATCACCAGAGTCTTACTCTAGTTCCGAGTCGGGGACGTGATCTGAATAATTTTCATTTTCACATAAAATAATTAAAGACGTTGTCATTGCCAACAATATTATTTAATGCAAAAGCAGCTTTCGATGGCTTATCCATCATCATCACTTCCATCCAGCAGACAACTGATGATGATGGCTAAGCCATCGAAAGCTGCTTTTGCATTAAATAATATTGTTGGCAATGACGTCTTTAATTATTTTATGAAAAATGCCAAAGATATCACACCACAACACCTATATTCATTTTCACAATCAGTCAGGGGTAGATCCAGCCGATCATTTTACAGGGAGCCATCGTAGATTTGTGTTAAATAATAAACACATTTGTTATTATATTGTATATCATTTATGCACTGAAGATATGATACTATACAGTATTATTGTATAAATAATGACATAATTAGAACATAAATATTTAAGTAAATGTTCCCAAATAAAGGAAGGTAAACGAAAACTAAGCCTTTGGGGGGGGGGGCATAGATGTCATGTCCTCCCCCCCCCCCCAGATGCACTAGTGCAATCACTCGCATCACTACCTTTATTCATCTAAAACACGAGATATAAAGTCTTAGAAATCAGGATCAGTAACCGACACACGTTCACGAGCATTAGTAGCCATAATACACAAACGGAATCTGTGGATCTCATGAACTCAACCTGCGTGGTGCAGGTAACGTTGGCAGCGACTGCAAGAACAACTGGAGTCATTTAGTCTTTAAGGATACCACTACCGTCTTCGGCTATTTAAGGCCAAAAATGATTTGTTCTAGTTCGTGTCGTAGTCGGGAGTCGACGACAAAAATTGAAGCTATATAGAGAAGGAATTAAGATGGAAAGGGATTTCAAAGAATCGCCAAGGGTGCACAGGTTGACTGGTATCGAAAAAAGAACTTACAACTCCATTTAAGGTTTAAAAAAATAAAATACAAAAAGACTCCTTTCCCGAAAAATCCATTCTATTTTATGTAAAATATTTTTTGTTTGGCAATTTTATTATAAGGGGGGGGTGGTTAAACCGATTTCATGCAGTTTGCACAGAACGACAGTGTTTGGAAGGGGTAATGATTTTGACTGTTTTTTGACCATTTTTTCTTATACAAAAATATATTTTAAAATAAATCTATAGTTTTATTCCGTTCTTAATAAAATTGTTATAAGTGATATTAAAAAAAATGAAAAAGAGGTACTACTATCTGCATGCAATTACGTACAAATTACTCCATCTTTCTTTTCTAACCCTCGGAGAAAAATGTGCGAGTTAATCCTCTAAAAAAGAATTAAACTTTCCTAATAGACCATAAAATTAGCTAATAAATTCAATTTTCTTTCATTTCATTTCCATAGTGCTATTAGACTTTGAATCATTCAAGGACGAAAATGCCACAAGACGTTTGCTAGGAGGACGTAAGAATGGATATATTTTCAGCTATCATTGGCAACGATGGCAGCAGCAACGATGATTATATCAAACTGGAGGGGAGTTGGGAGGTGGAGATAGACGTGTCAGGGAGAAAGAGAAGGGCAGGGTAAGGGTGGGCAGGATGGAGATAGACGTGTGTTTGAGGGCAGGGTGAGATCGTACAGTAAGGGGACGGCAAATTAGAATAGATCGGGGCGGGTAAGGGCAGGGTAGGGTGAGGACACACCATACACAGAATTTGTGCCTTTTCCTGACAGCTGATTACAATGAATAAATAATAGAGAAACACGGGCTAAGTCGACTACATTCTAATATAATGATTATCATTACATAAACGATTTCATTTCAGGTCGCCACACGTGTATTTTCTTTTCTTCACATTTCATCCCCGAAGATAGCCGTAATGGTGCAGAAATAATGTACTTAATTCAGGATCTGAGTCAGAATGTTTTTATGTCAATTTAATTTCAGCTCCTGCTCGCATTATATACTTTTTTGAAGTGCAGAACAAAATTCTTTACAAATCTATATTAAAAAACTGGAATCTATATGTGATTTAAAACTGACTTTTCATAAAAGAGGGTGGCAATGCCAAAGAGTAAGGATATTAAATATAAAAAAGCGTTCTCCCTGTTACCAAACAATTTTAATTTGTAAAACGCCGTGTTTCGTATTTCATTCATGTCAATCTGTGCATCTGTGAACAAAAATGGCACCTAAACCTCACCGCCTATGACGTTACTTATTTAAAAACAACTCTATTTTTTTACCATTTTCGTATGTCTGCCTTTGTCAGTCTGTCTGAGGTATCCTCGGCAACGGATAAAACGATATCGATTGGGTTTTCGTTGAAAGTATAAGTATTTTGTGGGGGATAAAGAAAGTTACATTTAAAAAAAATTATTTTGTGTTATTCAAAGAAAAGTGCTTATATTTTTCATTTTTATGCCGATACAATGACAGTTTGTACCCGCCACCTTAAAAAACAGAAAATTTAGTCTTCGTGCGATTTTGTAAAAATTATTCCCAACCTCTTTCCCTGTCATTTATAAGCAAATTTAAATGCAAACTCAATATTTTACAAATATTTTGAAATTATTGAGGTAATCTAGAAAAACAGTTTGGAGTAAAAAAAAATTTTTTTTGAGTAAAAAAAATGTGAAAAGTTATTCCATCTCAATTTATACTTTCTAATTTAGAAATCATTGGGAAATCTTTTGCCTTGTAAAACCATATTTTATGAGCCTAAAATTGACATTTTGGGACCTAACCATTCGCAATCTATTCATAATTCTGTTTACAGTGTCACTCTGTACTTTGTACGAGTACATACATTATCGCGCGGCAGCAAAATTTCAGCATGTTAATGCGGACAATGCACTCCATTGGAATGAATTGCTTCTCGGCTAGCTGCACGGTGAAGTGGTACTCCTGCACGGGGAGTCTTTTCTTGGGTGCAACGCCTTTGCAAATCCACTGATGGACGAAGTTCACAGATAATGTTGAGTGTCTCACGCTATGCTTAAGACAATGGCATCGTAGGTTGATTGCGTATTTGGTGAGATCGTAAAGTTCCACCCAAGTGACCCACCTTATGTGGAGGGCCACTGAGAACTCGCGATAATTGGCATCAATTTCGTCTTCTATTCGGCTCGTTAGATGCGGATAAATTGTTGGCCTGATTGTCTTAATGGCTTCTACTGTAAGGCAGTATTTAATGAGGTTCTGACTTCGTTTGTGAATATTTCTTTGATCATTTCAATACCATGGCAATTTCCAAATTTTCGTTTCGCAGAAATAGCATCATGGGATACACGAGTCATACCTTGGGTGTCTTTAGGCAGTATTAATATTTAAATTATTCACTTGTGTAATTTGTGAAATCACTACAATATACCTACTATTATAATTTGTTTATAATTGCTAAATATATAAGTAATAAACGATGAACTGTGCTTTAAAAATTGCCTTTATTCAGGAAAATATCTGTACTGACACATTGTGCTGAAACTTACAGTTAGTAGCTAATTCATGAGACTCCTACAATTCCACACATTTTTCATTGAGATGTGTTATTTTCAATGAATTCATTATAAAGGAATTAATTTGTAATACGCTCATGTCACTGTCGCACGACTGTCACCAATGCATTCTTTCACAATATAACTTGGAAATATGTAACACCACGAAGTGTGTAATAATTTTGAAAACCTCTTTGGGATGAACTTTCAAACAGAATGGTAACTCCAAAATAAAGGTTCAGTTAATCAGACAGACAATTGCATTAGCAGATCATAAAAAGACAGTTTCATGGATCACAAAAAATTCAGAAAAACTAAACTTCAAATCTTTCACTGTCAATCTCCATTAGAAAGCTAATATTAAATAAGATTAAATATGAAACATTTACTTTTTTAAGATCGTAGATATTAAGAAAATCTCCTCACTTTCAGAATTTTAAGGGAAAATATCAAAGGGATAGATATATGTTAACATTTCTAGGAGAGGATTTTATTTATTTTGCAAATTGAAACGCGACGTGTTGAAAATATTTTAATTAAGAAGGTCTTTCTTATATGCTCAAGAGAAATTCCAGGAAAATAATGGAGAAATGTAATCTAGAGGGTTAAAGAAGAAAATATTCCAAACGTTTATCGTTTCAACACTACTCGCAGAACAGAGATTATAATATTGAATACCTGATTTTTTCATAAAATAAATTTGCCATGAAATAAAAAGAAAAACGTTCAGGTCATTAAAATCAATACTTCTTAAAAAATTGATTCAGTTACTATATCGATATAGCTAAAACATTGAGTTGCATTTGTGCACTTATCAATGAAATATTAAAATGCAAAATATTGATTGTGAAAGAAAATTGAATCGACGAAATGTATTCCGCCTCAAAAGTTATTTTAATGGGCCACATTGAAAAATAACCTGCTGGTCTGTGTACACGGAACTTAGTTACTTAAATGGTTCCAATTCTATTAAAATACATTTTTCAGTAGAATATATGCAGTGTGGAGTATATTTTGCCAAAGGAATTTTTGATCAGCCACAACCCTAATATAACAATCATATGGTTAAATCAAAACACGACATTTAGGGTTTTATTTTAAGATATATATAAAAACACCAAAGAAGGGAAGTTATTATCTGAAATGTGTGGTTTACATTTTTTGAACATATTATTTTTACATTGTGGAAGATCATTTCTGTCTCTCATAATTCAATCAACAATATTCTAAAAGAAATAGGGAACGAAAGGACAAATAAAAATGGCACTCAAAAGGAAGAAAAGCAGGTAGGATCATATGATGAGAGATGGGTTTGACAACCATAACTCTGGAAAAAGTGACAGAAATGAAAAGATGGGAAAGAATTAGACAAACTAGAGAATGAAGTGAAGTTTTTAACCTAAAATAAGACGAAGAAAATAGGTCTGGAATGAAAGCAGATGAGACAACAACGGTAGAAGCTATTTACGATAAGAATCAAATTTTTCCACAGCAGAATAATTTTAGAAATATTTCCATTGTGACACATTCGTGGCAAATTCATAACATTGTACATTACTACCTCCTAAACGAAAGTATATTCTTTCTCGTCAGGTTACCGCGTGATATAAATGCTCATCAGTGAATATCTGAGAGTTAGTATTTTTCACGAGGAGCTAGACAGAAAAATAATAAAAATATGGAGAATGAATTTCATTATATTTTATTAGTTCCTCGAAATATATTTATTTCACCTTGTTATTGGCATTATAAGTAACTGAATGCAATAAAGCACTGTGTAATAATGAGATGGTAATGGTCAATTAATAAAAACAAGATAATCTAATCTCATTGACAGAGACAAGAAAGAAGAAAATGTTAGTAAAAGTTTAAAAAAGTAAATTTAAAATATTTATGTAATTCCAGTGCAACAGTTTGCAAGTAATGAATAATATACTTCTGATAATTTAATGTTTAAAAATATAGAAATAATTATATACGTGCTGATGATGGCAGAAGATTTAAACAACCATAAAACAAATTGGACTTTGTCACACTTTCGGCATCACTCATAATGAAAATTGAGCACACAAGAAGATGTTTTGTGAAAAACACAGCAGAACAGTACAATAATATTGGCAATTGACTCTCTTTAATATACATATTTTCTTTTTATTCTCTCTTTGCTTTCCTCTTCATTCTTATTTGCTTATTCTTTTATTCTTCACAGTTCGCCCTCATCTGTAGCAGTGGTCCCACGGCATGTATTAAAGAGGAAATATAAGTGCAATTATGTTTTCTTGATCTTGTTCTTATAAATATCCTGTAATACCTTGTGAACAGTTAATTGGATTGGAAAAAATATTTAAGATATTTTCTTTCATGCATTTTTTTTCAGTGTGTTCAGACGTTTCAAACATCGAAGTTATGTGGAGGGATCAAAAACGATCACTTTTGGCCAGTGAACATGCAGTGGGTACCTTCATATAACGAAGTCACACATGTAACGTCTACCCCTGATGGATAGGCAACACGACATGTGAGAGCGTAGGCTACCGCGGCCGGAGTCAGTATTTACTAGGCTGTCCGGGTGACGCCGCGTTCATGGAGAAGGTTCCGACGTTTCGGTCACCGCTCTGCTACCTTCCTCAGGGCGTAATGCGTAAGGCGTAATATATAAACACAACATGTACTGATGTTCGGCAGATATACGTCAGTGTTGACCGTCCTTTGATTGCATCAGATCAGGACATAACGAAAACTAGAACCTGATTAATTGATTGATTAGTGATTCCATGCTAATTTAAACGCTAAACTCGTTATACCCGTAAGTATAGTGAATGTTTTATTGCATGAGGCGGATAGTACGCTTCGACATCGAAATGCCCGTCGGCTTGCGGGGTTTACCCCAAGCAGGTGTTTTCCACCAGCGGGGCATCGCTCCAACTGGGACTAGCTCTAAGCTCCCGACAAGTGTGATTGTGTAGTGCATGTAAGAGTAGCAGTATGTAAGTAAAGGGTGAGCATAGGACAAGGAAGTGATAGGAGCGATTTCACGTGGTCCATAGTCCTTTAGAGTACTGCTCCGACATTCGCCAGGTGTTCTTCGCGACAAAAAGCTCAGAAAACACCCGATCAGAGCAGCCAGCAGCTGAGATTGCTCAGCCAATCTGGCTTATGTGGAAAATCCTGCCGGCGTCGCGACACGACCCCTCGAACCTCAGGGTCAAAGGCACTGCAGTTGATTCCCTGAGCCACATCAGCAGGGCATGAGACGTTGCCTACGAATCACCGACAAATATGACACTTAGTTATATGAAATTTCTCACATGTCCACTAGCAAAAAGTGATCATCTAATATAACGATTTCTGTACAGAACCTAGAAGTTTGTAACATTTATTCCATATCAACCTGCATTGCCCATCCTGTAACTACAACATATCCTTTTCCTTTCTCATTGTTTCGTGCGCTCTTTCCGGCCGGCCGTTCCGGCCGCCGCCGCCGCCGCCGCCGCGGCGTCCTCCGCTTCGAGCAGCACGCGACGCACGTCCTCGCCGGCGGCCACGTCGACGGGGCGCGCGCCGTTCGCCGCGCGCCGCCTGGGGTCCGCGCCCGCGCGCAGCAGTTCGCCCGCGCATGCGCAGTGGCCGCCGCGCGCCGCGCAGTGCAGCGGCCGCCACCCGCTTCCGCCGTCGACCACGCCCCCGCTGCCGCCGCCGCCACGCGCCGTCGCCTCGGCGTCCGCGCCCGCCGCCAGCAGCACCCGCACGGTCGGCAGGTGGCCCCTCCAGCTGCCCAACAATTTTGGATTTTAGATTGAATGATGATTCCGGGCGCGTTAACTGCTAGGGACGTTAGTCCCGCTTAGATTTTAGATTGAATGATGATTCCGGGAGTGTCAACTGCTAAGGTCATCACTCCCGGTTAGATTTTAGATTGAATGATGATTCCGGGCGTCCCAACTGCTAAGGTCATCAGTCCCCTATAGATTTTAGATTGAATGATTATTCCGGGCACGTCAACTGATAAGGTCATTAGTCCCGTTTACATTTGAGGTTGAACGATGTTTCCGGGAGTGTCAACTGTTAATGTCAGTAGCCCAGTTTAGATTGTACACAATAATGATTCCGGGCGCGCCAAATGGTAAGGTCATCAGCCCCCTTTAGATTTTAGATTGAATGATGATTCCGGGAGTGTCAACTGCTAAGGTCATCACTCCCGGTTAGATTTTAGATTGAATGATGATTCCGGGCGTCCCAACTGCTAAGGTCATTAGTCCCCTATAGATTTTAGATTGAATGATGATTCCGGGCGCGTCAACTGCTAAGGTCATAAGTCCCGTGTACATTATAGATTGAATGATGATTTCGTGTACAGGCACACATTCTCAGGCAAACCAGCCCTGAGGAGGACCACGACAAGATGGTAGAAACGTTGGCAACACAGCCTTCGACGCGGCGTCACCCAGACGGCCCAGATCATGGTCCTAGTGTTGATCGGAGAAACCACGGAAAACTACCGACAACAACGCCGGCACGGTCGAGAGTGGGCCCCTTCAGCTGAACAGTAATTTCAGATATACCTCCATGAAGGAATAGTTTATTTTAGTATATTTTTTGACAAACAGCACAATACAAGAAAATGACCACAATCTATAGCTAATTTTCTCTTGAAAATATATTATATTACATCGGAGAGAATATTTTTGTTAACAATTCTTATCAAACAAGCTCACTTCTTTCTGTATTCGGAATTCAACTCGTATATTGGTAAGAGTAGGGATTCCAGAATTAAGAAAACCTGCACAGTATACACTTCTCCCCGTATCACATCACACACAGTTTTTAGCTGCTTTCGACGTTAAATAATATAAACTATTTCAGACTGAATGATGATTCCTGTCGCGTCAATTGCCAAAGGGCGTTAGTTCCGTAAGTGTGGTGCATGATTTATAGCGGGATGTGGTGGTGATCTTCCCCCGCTGCAAAGCGAGATACTACACTGGTTTGCGGGGTATTCCCCAACCAGAGCCCTGCCACTTAGTGCGCCACTGTGATGACGTGACGAAGGCGCGATAAGGGCGCCGACAACGCCGAACGAAGTGCTCTTCACACGCTGTCACCGCCGCGGACAGGGTGGGTTCTGCAGGGGTAGGTTTCGCTGACCCTCCGTCGATGGCGAACGAAGGGAGCACAAGTAAAACGCCACGACCGGCGGCGCAGTGGTAATACCGCCATTTAATGCTGTGTTCTAACAGTGGCACGTACGCCCGCCTGCGCTTCTCGTAGCGAGGGCCCTGCGTTAAACGCCCCAACAGCGCGAGCCCGCCGCTCATGAGAACAACTCCATTTAAACCAATGCTCTGCTACAAGCCTCGGCGTTGAGAAGCGCGCAGCGGTGGCGACGTGTGAAGGCGCCCTTAAAGCTGTGTTACGCCAGCGGTTGCACGTACGCCCACCTGTGCTTCTCGTGGCGAGGGTCCGACGCCGAACGCCGCAGCGGCGTAAACCCGCCGCATGTGGGAAGACCTCCGTTTAAGCCAATGCTCTGCTACAAGCGCCGCGGTGGCAACGTATGAAGGAGCCTTGAGGGTCAATCGCGACCCAACGCAGAACCCACCTGGCCACGTGCAGGGGCGTCCAGCCGTCGCGTGGCCGTGCGGCGCGCGGATCGGCGCCGGCGTCCAGCAGCGCGCGCGCGCACGCCGCGTGGCCCCAATGCGCCGCCCAGTGCAGCGCCGTCCACCCGTCCTCGTCCTCCTCCGCCGCCGCCGCCCCCGCCGCGCCGACAGCCCCCGCCGCCGTCAGCAGGGCCCGCACGTACCCCACGTGGCCGCGCTGCGCCGCCACCGTCAGCGCCGACACCGTCGTCCCGCTGGACTGCGCAAGGAAATTGCACAAAGACGCTGGGAATAAATAATGTCCGGGCCCAGGATGATACCGTTCTATTACCTGGGAGCACATTTTTAATTTTTTAAGTTTTTGTCTAACGTTCTACAATGATGTACTGGCGTCGCATGTGGGGTAATGCTCCATTAACTTGGTCGATGCTATTCGTAGTCAGTCCCAATCATCGGCTGGAGGCCCTTTCATCTCTGAGATTGTCACCCATTCAGCAACCGCGGTGTCTTGAACTGGTTAACCTCCTTGGTTTCACGGAGCACAATTTATCAATTCGAGTAGCTATATCGGAAAAATTTATTTACATTCTTTCTAATAAACATAATTAAATATCCAAACGGAAATAACTCATTCCGTTCAGAGAAAAGTTTCTATAAATTGGATTCGGTAAATGTTTTATATTGTAGGCTCGACGAAAAACAACACGAAGAAACAGGCCATTGTTCCCGTAATATTGCGCTTTTTTTATCGTGGCAGGTTGCGGTGTTCTTTTTCTGCAGTATGGCGAGATTCGGCGCCGATCCATACGTCATCCTATTGGTTTTCCTCCAAACACATATTCAGCCAGCGAGGCACAAAGCTCCCGATTGGACTCCCGAAACGAGTGGTAGTGTAGCACATTTAAATGTGTCTGTAAGAGATGAGAATCGGAGAAGCAATAGAAAGAAATGATCGCGCGCGGTAACTGGCCTTTCGCTGTGGTACTACTCCGGCATTCGTCTGGTGTTGATCGAAGAAACCGCGTAAAATTACTGCTCTGTCGAAGTGAGACGACAGTTAACGACAAACGCAAGAAACGAGCGTTTTCAGATTAACTTGAAGAATTTAATTTTTGGAACTCGTATTATCTCGAAGAAGTAAATTAATCTTTTTTCCGAGTTTTCGTGGAAAAGTGCTTTTGAAGTTTTTTTTTTTTTTTTTTTTTGAGAATTTCTCGCAAAGTTTACAAGAAATCGGATATCTATCCAATCCTCAAGTCGCAGAAAGGAAGAATCCAGCGAATTTTCATTTCATTCGTGCACTGTCGCGTGGCGACACGCAGAGAGCACGTGGGCGACCTCTCTGGTCAATCATTCGCTCTCTAGTCCGCTCTCTCTAGTGTCGCACTTCCCGTCTACCCTCGACGATGCTTCGCCATGCCAGGCCGACTTCCCTCCCCCCTTCTGTCTGCCCGTCCCACCCGCCGTCCGCCATTCCGTCCATCCATCCGCTAGTCCCTCCGTCTGTCTGTGGTTAACTCCAGCGTGTAGACAGTTTAGATGATCTCCTCCAAAACAGATACGTCGTGTGGCGATCGTAGCCTAAATAATCAGGCGCCTGAAGCGTCCGCACTCTCTAGTGTTGCACCTCCCGATCGCCACGCCCACTCTCTCGCCAAGGTTCACGTTCCCTTGGAGTGTGAGTGCAATAAATGTGACCACTCTAAATTCTATATCTGCTTTTTTCTCCTGACAGTTGGTATATGATTTTTTCACTTTCCGAACAACTCGCGGCAGCACATATGTTTACAACATTTCCGTTGTTTTAGACTTACCTCGTTTCGAGATGATCCTTCGTCCACCACTCCCAATACACATCCAACTCGCCCCCTCTCTGCCGCCACGAGAAGCGCTGCGTTTTCGTCGTAGGCATCACAGGCAGCTGCCATGGAATCACACGCACTTGAGTAACTTAATAATTATCAACTCGTAAGTATCTTTCGATTGTGTTGCAACATTTATTACAAATGATGGAGGAAACGCTCACAGAAGCCACAAGCCTTAACTTTATGGTCCAATTAACATTTCTAAGTGATTGATAGATACTGTTTCAGAAGAGGGTATGGCTGTCAAAGCTTATTGAAGGGCATGTGGCTATTCTATCGCGTGAGACATTGATAGTCAAAAGTCACTCAATCTGTCAGGAGAGAAGAATAAGAGGATAAAAAGGAGGAGGAGGAGGAGAAGGAGAAAGATGGGGAGAAGTAATAGTAAGGGACGTAGATGAAGGAAGAAGAGAAGCATAAAATGAGAAGAACGACAAGAAAGGCGAGGAGACGTAGAAAACAGAAGCGATAAGCTAAAAACGGAGGAGGAAAATAAGTAAAGTGTTAAGAGAAGAAAGAAAATGAAGAGCAATAAACAGAAAAGAAAAATATGCACGTCACCTCCATTTGTTTCTCGGTGCACCTTGGATTGGGTCGCTTGACCACGGGGAGTGCTTTTCAGAAACATTGCTCTTTGGACCGACGCCTCACGAGGACCAGCCGGCGAAGCAGGGGCGGTGGCCGAGGTGGCGCCGGCGGCGGAGGCGGTGAAAGAGGCATCCACGGGAAGGATATCCGGAGACAATGGAGAGACCGCCCGTTTCAGGACTTCCCCTCGGCTCCTGCGAATTAAGTATTTTGTAAACATATTTTGTAAAAAATTGTAATTTGTAAAATTACATATCCATTGCTGGGGATAACTTTTCGAACTCCTCTTCCCAGGTTTTTCCTACTACTTCCTACGTACCTTTGTTTCTCAATCTCCCTAGACGTTCGAGCGAAATTTGAGAGCAATTTATCCAGTCGTTCAAGTATTTTTGTGTCACATATCCATACGTAAGTACGTACAGGTGTCCAGACCTCCCGCGCCAAAAGACATTCATCAACATTCATGCACCTATCTAACCACGTACAAAAATAGTATATAAAATATTTCTGGAAAAGTTTAATAATCTTACTGAAAATAGTAAGTTATCTTCAAAATTCGTGTACACATTCCTTAATCAGAACTTAACCGTAGTCGGTCGCAGACTACGAACAATTTCACTCGCCGGTGTGGTTCATACAAATTGCCGCCTGCTATACCAGGCAGGTGCGTGGCCAGCGCTCTTATCGCTGAGGTCGTAGCAAACCAGTGCCCGCAGAGATGGAGCAGACGCGCGCAAGACCTGAGACTAGGTGGAGTCGAAGTCGTTCACGTGGTCTCATGTATCCCAGCGGAACTCATGTCGTTAGCTTCAAGGTGGAGACAGTGGGGAGGTGGTTCGCCACAGACCTTTGGGCTGGATTGTGTTGAGGGACTTGCTCCCGATCTCACATATAAACGTCCGACGGGGTGCATGAGCCCTTTGGCTGGTTGTTTAGGTTCCGGTGGCACTCACGTCGATAGCTGAAGATGGAGGCAGTGCGGAGATGGTTGGCAGCCCCGAGCCATCCGGGCGGCTCCCAGTTGGGCACTTGGCATCGTCGCGGCAGTGGCCTCAACGGCAAAAGGAGGGACTTGTCCCGGCGCATTATTTGTCTCCGGTGCTAGCCTGGAAAGCTGGTAGCTCTAAGATGGCAGAGTGGCATCACCCAGACTTCATCGGGGAAATTCCAGTCAAGGGTTACTGCGTTCTGGCAAGTTATCAGCCTGACTGTGCACTTGCGCGTCGGCGGGGGGTGGAGTTAAAGGCATAAGCTTAGGGTGACCAATTCCGGGAGCGATCCTCCTGGTAGAACAAGAAATTGTGAGTGGAACCATTGATCAATCGCCCCATTGGGTCAAGAGATAAATCTGAGAATTTCCAAAATAGAAGTGGTATTTAATTCGACGATTCCACGAACTAAATTGCAAACAACAGAGTTCCAAAATGAACCAAATATTGAAGATAACTGAAAGAAAGTTAAAATCAAAAAGGGTATGTTAGAAGACACAAGCCGTTTATTGCACATCAACACAGCAATCGATACAAACTGCCTCATAAGACTGAAGAGTCATAGCTTATTATTGGCCAGTACGGAGATGAGGTAAGAAAAACTGGATAGAAAAAGATATAATTTTTTTGAGATACACCGCCCCGATTGGGGCAGTTAATACGCACGGCTTTTAAAGTTAAGACAAACATTTCCTCGCCAGGCAGCCGATAAAAAAACATGCTTCTAATTATAAAACGCTTTAAAATTTTGAAGTGCAGTACGGCAAGAGGGAGGTGTTTGCTTGAATCTTGGGAAAATTTATTTACGCCAGCTTGCATGGATGCCTTACATACTAGCAATTACACAATTTTTTTAACTCCTAATCTATTGTGTTGAGCTTCAAACTTTTGGTGGTCCTCACAACTCACTGTTTCAATTAGGCACGGATACCTCTGGACACCTGTATAATAGAAGTGGGCTCATACCTACCTGCTTCCGGACACCTTCAAAATCTGCGACAGGTGTGTGAGGTGGGGCGTGTCTTCCAGTGCCCTTTCACGTTCAGGCCTGGCGCAGTTCGCAGCTGCAGCACATCATAGCACTACTGTCACTAACATACCGGGGATTCATCCAATACAGAGATTTTCAGAACAAATGTAACAATCTTCTATACTTCGATTTATTTACAGATTCTGTTACCGTTTGATCAGCTGTTACAGTGTCATCCAATCGGGAGCTACAACGTCGTACGGTAGGTGTCAACCAAGCTCCCGATTGGATGACATAATATCAGCTGATTTACGTCAATCGACCCTATGTTTAAATCGAAGTATTGGGCATATAGAGGGACCTAAGATAATCATTAATTACCAATGAACATGCGATAAGAAATTTAATGCAACGAAGTTACACATGTGACATTTGCTCTTGATTTTTAGGCAAATATCCATGCATTAATGTTCGGCAAGTCAGTCAGACGCTGTACAAGAAACTTTGTGTACAGGACCAGCATCTGTATTGGGGTACTGCCACATCGAAAAAACTCACAGCTGATGATTATTACTGGTAATACCACGAGTGCTTTGGAAATTGTCGATACATCCCAGACTTGCAAAGCGAGAAGAGGATTTATCTGAGAATTTTCAAAGCAGGAGTGGTATTTAATAGGACGGTTTCAGGAATGAAATTACGCCCAACAAAGTTCAAAATGCGCCAAATATTGAAAATAATTGAAAGCAAGTTAAAATCAAACAAGTTATGTTCCAGTACATAAGCGGTTTATTGCACATCATCACAACAATCCATACATACCGCCTCCTAAGATTGAAGAGTTGCGGATTATTATTGGCCAGTAGGGAAGTGCGGTAAGAAAAATCGGACAGAAAAAGCGATATTTTTTGGAGATAAACCGACCCGATTGAGGTATTTCATGTCTATAGTTAAACACTATTGGTTTTAATTTCACGAATTGAATATAACTTCATTGATCGTCACATCACGTTACATAACGTCATGGACCATGAATAATTTTAATTACTTGGAATACAGAGTGTCGTGAACAGACCTGTAGAGACACTACCACCCGCTAGATCTTCCTCGCATCCAAAGAAAAACACAGTTTTTCCGTCACCGGTGCTCGGAGTGTTGACTGCGAGCAGAGAGACCGCCACTTCCTCCTGGGGATGATCAATGCACATTCAATTAGTGGGGCTACAAGATGGCACAGCCTTTCGCGTGCCACTTGTTTTCGAATGTTTTTAGTTTCGACTAGCTTTTCGGGTAGTCTCACTACTCGGGAAATGCAGAAATAGATTCTGTTTTGTCTGAATGTTTGTGTGCAATGCAAATGTTTCATTTACTGCGACTATTATCCTACTGCGCGCACCGAATACTCACTACGCTGATAACGTCATAGCTGATGTAATACGATAGCTAGTCTCTGCCGAGGCTGCCCTCTATTAAATATTTTCTATTTACTTGTTGCGTTATGGAACAGCAACTTTATTGACATTCATGGTATATAAACAGTATATTCACGGTAAAACAGTATTTATACCACACTACGTAGTTACAGTGTTCGTGAAGATTGGTTTTGTTAAAATATTAAATTTTTTGAAATGTTATACCATATTGTTTTGTTTGTTGTTCGTTACCAGTGGGCTCAGCATGACCTGCTGCAACATTACTGCTGCTTCAGGTCACTTTATTAAATTGAATACAAATGTGTTGAACGAATACGAATGATTACGATTGAATACGAATGTGGTGAACGCTCTCCGAGTCCCCTTGTTTCAGGTTTCTTACCTCCTCGTGTTCTTGCGTCTGGGAACCGGCATCCTTGGCCCGACAGGGAATGGAGATTGACGTGGAGACGGATGCGTGAGAAACCGAGGGCACCGGTTCGGTGCCAGTGCCTACGGAAACGCACGCCGGAGCAGGATCCGAGGAATCACCTTTGATGGAGGAGATGGGGAAGGGTGCCCCAGTGGGACACGTAGAGTTGGTTTGCGAGGAGGCGTCCGCGACTGAACGCGGGGAAATGATCGTGGCAGATTTCACGGTAGCTTGGTCTGAGTGGACGTCGAAGGAGTCAGTGCCCGTCGAGGCGAACGTTAGGGTGTGATTCAAGAAACCACCAGAGACGCTGGAAACAGAGGAGGGAACCACTGTGGAACAGCTAGAGACGGTGCTGGAGGCTGGTGCGAGGGGGGTGGATGTAAACGTCTGAGAGCAGGCGTCCGCCATTGGACGTGGGGAAATAATCGTGGCGGACCGGACGGCAGCGTGGTCAGAGACCGAGTTAAACGGGTCAGTGCCAGTCGAGACGACCGCTGGAGCACGATCCGAGGAACCATCAGTGATGGTGGAGACGGGGGAGGGTACCGCAGTGGGACCCGTAGAGATGTTGGGGGGGAGTGCGAAAGAGTTTGCAAGGGATGGGGAAGTCTGGGAAGAAGCGTCCACGACTGGACGCGGCGAGATGACCGTGAGGGGCAGGACGGCTCCGTGGTTTGAGTGAGAGTTAAAGGGGTCATTGCCAGCCGAGACGACCGCTGGAGTACGATTCACGTAACCAGCGTCGACGGAGCAGGGAGCAACACTGGAGAAGGTCGATTCGGTGGCAGGAACCCGTGTGAGGGCAGTGTCACGGGCTGGGAAAGTCTGGGAGCTCGCGTTCACATGGTGACGGAGGGAGGTCACGGCAGTGGTGGGAACGGAGGCATCGCAGGGTGTGTCTAAGGTGATGGGATCAGTGCCGGTGGAGACGCGGGTCGGAGCGACGGAGGGAATGCTGGTGGAGGCGGCAACGGGAGTGAGCGACGTGGAGACGGGGGCGGACACAGGAGCGACGGCGATGCCAACTGTTGCTGTGGCGGCCGGCACACCACCTTGAGTGGCTGTAGCGGGAGCAGTAGTGGCGATGACGTTTTCATTCACTACAAAAAAGAAGTTCTTGCCAAAACCTGAACGGTTTGATGCAAATGGATGCTTGTAAAACATCCACATGAAAACATGTACTAAAATAATTTCAATGTAATAAATGTAGCTATGTGGGCACAGCAGTTCTAATACTCTCAAAATTTTGGATGAGGTAGCTTAGTAGGAGTTTTTGCCGGCGATTCAGCAATCATTTCGCCTTCACTGGAGCGGAGTTGCATATGTGCTTTAAAAAAGTCTTGCCCTGCGGAAAGTCTCAGTAAATTTCAGACTCGAGAAAAGTCACAGTACGCCCCGCTTTTCGGTCCTTGGAAGATCATGTTATGCAGTGCATTTCAGTCTTTAGAGAGACCAAGCTCTGCCAGGCATTCCAGCCCCTAGAAAGACCACGCTATGGCGTGCATTTCAGCTCTTAGAAAGACCATGCTATGACGTAAATTTCACCCTTGAAAGACCACTCTACGACGTGTATTTCATCCCTAAGAAATACTACATTTCGCCGTGCGTTTCAGCCCTTATAAAAACCACACTATGAAATGCACATCAGATCTGAGGAAACTATGAAATATACTTCAGCCCCGACGAAGGCTACGATATGAAAAGTGCTTTGCTCTTGAACCCTGAGGAAAGTCATGATACGACTAGCGCTTCTGCTCTGAGGAAGGCCAAGAAAGAAAGAAAGAAAGAAAGAAAGAAAGAAAGAAAGAAAGAAAGAAAGAAAGAAAGAAAGAAAGCATACGCAACAGGCAAAGGCGCCAAGGCTAACTGCCTTTTATGAGACTACGAGTAATGGCTAAATACAAATAAGAAAGTTTGAAGGAAGGCATACACTTCAACTCCAACAAAGGACCCGATTTGGCATGCATTACGGCCATGAGGAAAGCCATGTCACATGATAATCGTTTAAAGAACATCTCTCACTCACAGTTATTGCCTTCGTGCTCCAAGTGGTCTCTTCTTTGTCGATGTCTCAGCCAGTCAGCATAACTGGATAGTGTCTGAAGCCAATCGAAGACGTCGACATCTCCATCACCTGAAAATGTAATTCGTTTTATTTTATTTACGCCATATTTACAACTGTTATGCATTTGTGTTAATGGGTCGCGAGGGTAATCACTTTGGGATGAGCGTATAAAGTAAATTACACGATGGGAGCTAACTGGTACCAGTTGCTGACTGCAAAGAGCTGGACTCTTTGGAGTTGGGGGAACAGGCAAGTGGTTCAGGTTTGAAAGAATTCAATTCAAATTTCAATTTGAAGAACATATCAATGAATGAATCACGAAACTATTAAGAGAGAAGCACATTCTACACTCAATAGACTGTGCTTGAAACTATTGAATGTAGTCGCTTAAAGTCCAATTGCGCGCCAAACGCAACGGCCGATGAGCTCGAATGCGCAGAAGCATGGGAAACCACGTGACCACTCGCTGAAAATTACGTTAATTCCTGACTTCTGTCTGAAGCCTTTGTTCTGTCTTTCGCTGCTCGGCCATCGCCCAGATACGATGGGTATGGGATATTCCTTCCTTGATCAAGAAGATTCACGCGTACATTTATTTTCTGCAGTCGTGATATCTGGGAGGCGATATTTTATCTGTATAAATAGGAAATTATTTCAGTAATGGAGAAAATGGTATGAATTAGTAAAATAGTAAGTTGATAAAATACTATGGTAGTATAAATGGACTATACTACCACAAACGTTGAGAGACCAGTCGAGAGCTTAGTGCTTGTTCGGCTTGGGGCGGTGCCTCATTAGAGGGAGATACTCGTAACAAGTTGGGGAAAACCCCGCAAGTCAGTGTAGTTCGGCGACGTACTCACCAATCATTGTATCAGAGCTTCGGATAAAATACTCACAAAAATGAAAAGATTAACATAAAATTCGAGAACCCGCGAAAACATCTACATTGATTATGGTATTCTCATTGATAAAAAATATTTGTACGATTTTGGACTACTGTTGTTCACTTATAGAGTCTCAGCTGAAAAACATGTGTCGTACCGACGAATTCGTCCCTACCTGGGTGTCTTCTGCCCCTCCAAATGCGGACAAGTCATGTGACTACACTGAAGCATACTCAGGAGGCGTGAGGAACATGCTCCCCCAAAGCCAACTTTTTAATTTTACTCTATTTATTTAAAGTTATTACAATATATAGAAATTATCACATCCAAAACAGTATTCTAATTTTGAATACTCATATATCATTATTTTAAGCTAAAAATTTTTAAAAAATTCCAAGTTGTTAAGGGTGCGTTACAACGTACATAACGGATTCAATTGAAATATTAAATGCCTTTTGTTTGTATAGAATCTTAGTAAAGATTAATTTTAAAAATTTAGTCATAGCCTTTCGGGGAAGAAATAAATAAAGCACAATAATCCCACCCGACTTTGCGTTCTTCAACTCTTCCCTTTCAGAAAAATAGAGCTGTTTGAGACCGTCAGTGTCGTGGGAAGACTTACCAACTTCTATGAAAGGTCTGGCTCCAGTTGTGCCATATCCAGACATTGCTGTTAACGACTCCTCGCGACTACCTGCCTCGCAGGAGGAGAAACATTACATTAACAAAGGTATAACAATGTGAAAACTCATAGAGCCATTACGTTCGTATATAGTTTATGTAGAAATAAAAATAGGCACAATATTTCAAATTTCTGAATTGCAACTACGTGAAACATACTTGATTTAACCCCATATTTATTTAGTTACTAGCTGAACCCGTGCGGAAGTGTGGTACACTAGAAGAATAGAACAGTTTGAGGCCATCAATGTTGCGGGTGGACTTACCAGCTTCTCTGAAAGGTCTGGTTCCACCTGCGGCATCTCCCGACATCCGCCTTAACGACCCCTCACGTCTCCCTACTTCACAAGAGGAGAAACATTACGTTAACTTAGGTATAACAGTGTGAAAAATCATGGGGCGATTATGTTCGAATATAGTTTATTTGGAAGTCAATAAAAATAGGCACATAATTGTCAACTTCTGATTGACAACTTCGTGAAACTTAATTTTTTGATCGTTCGACACATTTTTTTTAGTTATTAGACGAACCTCGCTGAATAAAAATAGGTACATTATTGCAACTTTCTGAGTTGCATATAAGAGAAAAATATTTTTGGATTGACCCCCGTATTTATTTACTTACTAGCTGGACCCGTGCGAAAATGTACACTGCAAGAGTTGTGGTGTTTGAATCCGTTAATGTTGCGGGAGAACTTACCAGCTTCTCTGAAAGGTACGGCTCCCCCTGCGCCATCTCCGGACATCTCTCTTAACGACGTCTCACGACTCCCTATTTCACAGGAGGACAAGCATTAGATTAACAAAGGTATAGCAACGTGAAAACGCATGGAGCGTCTATGTGGAAGTCGTAAAAAATAGGTTCATTATTGCAACTTTCTGAATTGCAGCTACATGATAGTTCCATCGTCAGAAATTTACGCATTATAGGTGTTGTGGTGCGTTATCGGTGGCATTTTTCATGAAATAATTATAAACGTTGTCATTGCCAACAATAGTAGTAATTATAGTAATTTTCGCATTACTTTAATTCATTACAGTAATTAATTCATAAAATGTAATGTACACATGTACATTAGGATGCAAAAGTCAAAACTTAATGGTCTTATATCGAAGGAATAAATGAATGATCTTGATGGACTGGTGAACGTAAGTATATGATATGAACGACGAGAGTCAGAGGAAACGGGATAACCTCTTCATTAAATCTCCACCGATTTTAACTTATGCATTAAATTTAATGTACTAATATTTGAAGCTATTTTAATGTACACGGTTACATTAAGTTTCATGTACAATATATTAATCTGCTTTTGATTTAATGACATATTATGAATATATGGTATGAATAAAGACAGGTAAACGAAAAAAATCTCTACATTAAATATACCTGATTTTAACTTATGCATTAAAATTAATGTGTATTAAGCTTTTTTAATGTATGAGGTTACATTAATTTTCATGTACAATACATTAATCGACATTAATTTTAATTACATTTCTGGCAGTGTACTTTTGTTATTAAAACACGTATTTAATTAGTTATAGTATACATGCAATAATTCATAAGTCATGGGAAGTATTTTTTCTTGCGACATTAAACTTAAGAAACAGAATAATATTTGTAATTAAGAGTGAATGGAATATACGTATTGTGTTAAAAAAATACGCCGACTCTTTGAATTACGCGTCTCCAGTTGGTTCCAGCGAAATTCGCTTCATGTCGCTAGGTTTGCTCAGGTCTGCTGATTATGACGCCATTTCCCGATGATTTTTATCTTCATTTGTTTATTAGTTACGTGATTTGTAGTGATGTGCGATTTTTTCGTTTGGCGAATTTCAAAATAAATGACCTGAAAGAGCAACGAATTGCTGTCGAAGTTTGAGTTAAACTACGAAAATCGGCGACAGAAACTTTCACTAAGCTTGACACGGCTTACGGAGATGCTGCTATGAACGTACGGCATGTTTCAAGAGGTATGAACGCTTTCAAAATGGTCGACAGTCCATTGAAGATGATGGACGTCCTTCTACAACTGTCGACAAAACACGAAGACCCACACGTCGACAAAATCAACACCCTTGTGATGCAAAATCGACGTCTGACTCTCAGAGAGCTTTCTGAAGAGTGTGGGATATCAGCTGGATCTTTTCACGAGGTTTTCACTGAGAAATTGAAGATGCACAGCGTTTCTGTACATTCGAGCCACGCCTGATGACGGAGGAACAAAAAGCGCATCGTGTCCAGATTTGTCAGGAACTGCTTGATCGTTCAGAACAAGATAAAAACTTCTTGTCAAAGATCATAACCCGAGATGAATCATTGGTGGAAACCAAATTGTTCTGAAAATATTGCAAAATGTCGCCTTTTTAAAATTGGGTTCAAATATGGGCTACCCCTACTTTTTTTAGAAAAATGTAATGAAAAAAGTAATGACAGTGACATTCACTTAAAAATAGTACAATATAAGCACACAATTCACTTACTAAAATCACATGTATACACATCTCTCTCCCAACCAGCACATTATTTGTGAGCCTACCCATGACATGTAACACACTGTACCCAATCTTCAACAATTTCTGTCTTCGGAAACCACCCGTTGAAAAAACAGGCAGGAAACACCGCCTTGTTGTGGGTTTTTGGTGTGTTGTGGTCCCTCAAATTCCGAATCGGAGTCATCCAGGGGTGACTAGCCTCTCTAGCTGGTATATAGATCAAACCCTCGTTTACAAAACCATCATGGTGGCCATTACTGGTATAAAGTAGAAGGTTGAAAGATACATTGAAAGCATTCACCAGCTCAACATTAACACAGCACGGCTCCGAAATATCATTTACAGACAACTGACTAATGGTGAAACACACTGTTGTTCATACCTGCTGAAGGTTTGACGGTGGAAAAAAAACGACAATCGATAATTGTTTACTCACAGCTTTTAAACGTATTGACTGATGGGTACCAACTGCTCGTCGCTCTTCAACAGGACCAAGGGGACTAGTTTCACGCCATTTCCGATAGATTGCGACACCTCCGCGCTTCACAATAGAAACAATCCTGTCTTTGAATCTTCTCCTCCATGCTGTAGACATTGTGATCGTAATATTTTTCGTTTCCGAGAAATTTAATAATTTTTGATTTTTTGAACGGAACTACATATTGTGATGACCCCTAGACCGCGAGCGTCAGAATCCGTAATGAAAGACCCGCGGGTCCCACTGAGTTTTGAGACACGCCTTGCTAAGATCGCTTCATCACCGCGGTGTCCAGACCTCTCACTTTGTGACCCCTTGTTATGGTGACATATGAAGAGCGTCGTGTACCAGATTAGACCAACGAACCTTGACCCAGATCTAGACAGAATGAAAAAAAAAAAACAATATCGCCAACATCCCGGAGAATACATTGCATCCGGTTGTGCAAAATCTTCCGAATCGACTTACTAAATGATTACGCCGAAATGGACACATATTAATTGACTTTTTTTAAAGTGAAATCTAATTCAATTCCCACTTTAGTAGAACACAATTTTGGCATCAAATAAAGTTTTGTACGTTTCCTTAGTTTTTGTCTAAATAATTCAAATTGCCCCGTTTTTTGCGTCACCTGTATAAACATAATTATTGTTAAGGATTACCTTATTCCTTATTAATGATTATGAATTTGGCCCTACGCCTGATAATGCTTTGGGGGAACAATCAACAGAGTACATGTAAGTACCGTTGCCTCACCAACATTGTTAACCGGAAAATTGTAGGTTCGAGACCCGACGGTGGAGGACTTTCTTCGCTAACTACACACCTGGTTCGAATTCAACAACTATCGAGTGGGTAATTCTAGCGACCGTCTGTTCTAATCTTTTGGGTTCCATGGCTTCTGCGATCAATATCAGGCATATGTCTGATCAATACACTCACAAACGGGCTATGGACCACGCGCAATCTTTTCTTCTTCAACCTTGACACCTCCTCTCCCTTTACACACACACACACACACACACCTTCTGAGCACCAAGCTTCAACATTTGTCAGAAGTCCAGTTGAGAATGTAGAGCTTGCTCTGGCTGAGGTATTGGTGGGAGATGGGAGCCATGTAGTTCAGCGCTGGATATCACGTTCCAGCGGAAAACGAACACATCTCCCTTCAAATTGATTAATTAGATATTCCGGGCGCGTCAAAAGCTAATGTCGTAAGTGTAGTGCTGGTTTCATCGGGGAACATGGCGGTGATCTTCCCCCGCTGGACGGAGAGATCCATGTCGTTGATTTCCCTAAGCAGGTATCTCCAACCAGCGGGGCACCGTCCCAGTCGAAACAAACTCAAAGCGTCCGACTGGTCTATCGGCGTGTGTTGTAGAGTAGAGCATGTAAGCGTAAGGTGTGTAAGAATGGGGGTAAGGATAGGTCAAAGAAGAGAAAGAAAAGATCGCGCGCGGTCCGTGGCCCGTTTGTTAGGGTATTGCTCCGGCATTCGGTTGGCGTTGATCGGGGACCATTGAAAGTTGCCATTTAGAGTAGCCGGCGGTTAGAATTATTCTCCAGACAGCGGCTGAACACGGCCTGGTTCTGCAGCTAGTGTCGAAAATCCTTCCACATTCGGGACTCCGCCTCTACGTCCTCCCCGATGAGAGACACTGCAGGGACATTAACTGATGGTCTGAGCCAAGTCCGCCAGCCTCCAGAGATAGATCAAGCACTTACAAAACTAGTAACCAAAGTCGTTGACCGACCCGCATGCGATTAATACGTACCGTCAGAATCCGGGATGGAAGGCCTCTCCCTCCGGCAGCCTTCCGGAAGGTGATACACTTTGGCACATAGCTCGGGTAGAGGCCCAGTTGGGATGCAAGCCGCTCGTGGAATTCCCTCGAGTCCACGCTCTCCAAGCTGGATCCTATCCGCTGAAGAAGAGGCTGAAGAGGTGGAAGAGCATGAGGACGGTTCGACACATGCCTCGCGAGCCTTCACACATTCGCCTCCCTCTCCTTCGTTTCCCCTCCTTGAACTCTCTCCAGTTCCTAATACTTCTTCTTCTTCTTCTTTCACTTCTCCTTCCATGTTTTCCCCGAGGTGTCCTGTAACACTATCGTTTTCTGTAGTATTTTTGCCCTTGTCTGCTTCTTCAAGTTTGTTACTTCCACACTTTTCTTCTATGCGAGTTAAGCGTAACACCACTTTCTTAAGAGAATCATCTTGACGATTTAAAGAATCATAAAGGTCCTGTACATTTATTTGTGTGTATAGTTTCAAATTATCTAAGAGCGCTTGCATGCCGTTTAATGTTACACTTAAAGAAATTTCTTCTGATGAAACATTTCTTTCATAATTTTCTTTCTCTTCGCTTCTCATTTCCTTCTGTTGGCTCACATCCTCTCCGTCTTCGCCTTCGCCTATTTCGTTTTCTATTTTTGTTTGTTTCTCAATATCTACTTCTTGGTCTTCAACGTCATCGCATTTCACCTTGTCTCCTGCTGTTACTCCTCTTTTTCTGATGTTATGGTCCCTTTTCTCATCCCTTGTACTTTCTACTACTCCTATCACTTCTCCTTCAATTCCCTTTATTTCACACTTTCCTTCTTCATAGTCCATACATTCTTCTTGTTTATATCCTTCTAATCTTTTTTCATTTTTCATTTCTCTTATTTCTGCATTTTCTATTTCTCTCGTCCAATTTTCATCACTTTTCTCTGCATCATTTTCCAATTCTCCTTCACTCTCTATTTTTTCTCGTATTCTTTGTTCTTCTTCCTTTCTTCCACACATTTCTCTTATATTTTCATCCTGCATTGCTATTTCATTTATATTGTCTTCTCTGGTTTCGTATATTTTTTGGCCATGTTCGATACCATCTTCTATTTCTTGTCTTAGTTTCACTTCTCCGTGAACTTTAGCTTCTAATTTGTCTGCCTCTTCATTGTTTTCAGATTCTCCTATATTTTCCCCTATGTGTCCATCATCACTAACATGTTCTTCTGTTATGACTTCATTTTCTACCCTGTCTTCTTTGCCATTTATTACTAGTTCTGTTTCTTCTACGTTTACTTGGACACTTTCACAGCCTCGATTTTCTTCTTTTTCTTCTTCATCTACTCCAATATTTTTTCCTTTTCCGTTTTGTAAGCAGTCTCTTTCAACGGAATCAATGCACTTCGAGTTACTCTCTTCCTTCTCTTCTAACTGAGCAAGTGGTTGACTCTCTAAAATAGTTTCAACATTTTCAATATCATCCTTTACATGCGAGAGATTTATCTCGTTCTGATTGCTCAGTGAAACTGCCGCGCCACATAGCGCTTGATTATCCTGATGCGCAATCTCTTCTAAACTGTTGGGCACTGGTTCTTTCAAATGCTCACTTGAAGTTTCCGTTATCTCGGTGTCATTAATACGAGATAAACTTTCTGAAGACATTTGTTTGAGTTCTTGTAGATTCAGTAAAACGTTACTAACATTCACCGCGTTGCTTTCATTGGAAGATTCGACTTGAGATAAGCGTGTCGAAAATTCTTTTAATGTACCTATTTCTAGTTGCTCGAGTCGCTCTTTCAAGTTTTCTACGCTTGTTTTCTGCTCAGCCCTCTCTTCCCTACATATTCGAGTTTCTTGCAGCATATTCTCATTTCGAGAATCAAGTGAAGCTAGTCTTGTTTCTATTTCTTGTACTTTCTTTTCGGAACTTTCAAGAGAAGACACTCGATCACAAACAGTTTTCAAAGAACTGGTCATCGCCCCTATGTTGGTTTTATTGCGATTCTGTTCTCCTTCGAGTTCGTTCAATCTTCCATGGAGTGTTTCAAATTTATTTTTCAAATTGCATTCTTCCTTGTTGGTAAGTCCTTCCCTGGCAGTCTCTAAGCTCCGGCAGTTAGCCGCCGTTAGTGACGTTTCATTCTTATTAGATCCAGATGCTTCATTATGAACAGTTCTAGACTTTCTCTGTTTTCTCTTGGAGCCAGATTTTCTGAAAAGAGAACAAAATCACTGTGTATTAGGTATTGAGGTTGAGATATAAAAATTTCTCAGTGTTTATCCTTTTATTTCAATTTTCCGAACAGAATAATGGCTGATGCGCATTTTAAGTTCGCAAAACTAACAATAAATAAATAAATTGTAATTATATGACACCTTAAAAAGATCATTTTAATTTCAAGTATTTTGAGGGGCCTTCCATGAATTACGTAATGCAAATTTAGAGTATTGTGAATGCCTCCTCTTCCCCTAAGGCACGTGTAACGCGCCCTTGAACATCACTAAACAATTACGTAATGCTTACCTTACTTAATTACTCACATTTACAAGAAGTGAGCATACATTACATAACAGTAAAAGAATTTGCATTAATTTTATATGTACTACATTCACAAATTTATAAAAAACATATGATCAGAATTAGCTGGCGATGCTTACTGCACCTATCTAAGATTGGGTCAATTTTTGAGTCAAGGAAGGACTCATATCCGAAAAAATTTTAGATAAGCTGTAGCTATCCCGTCGTGAATGACGCATAGCGAGACTCAACTGCACTCATTTAACTGGATTATAAAATGCATTTTAGATCAGTTTTGAATATTTTCTTTGTAATCTAACTGACTCAATCAACATACAATTATTTAAAAATGTTTACTTTTATTTTAATAATTTACACGTCATACATACTTTTTAATTTACATTTTTAATGTAATTTTATAATATTTTAATGTTTATACTCGTGTAAACTGAATAAAGGGAATAATTTCAGCATTTCTTAAAAAAATGAATATTAGTGTTAAACTTTTCCCTCCTCTCCTGTGTAGTGCAGCTTAACGCGGTGTCATTCCTTCTCCTTCCTTTTTAGCGTTACGCAATTTATGGACGACCCCCGTTGATGTTTATGTAAAGATAAAATACGTTATCACAAAAGAAATACGTTTTTCAGAATAATAAAAAATGAAAATGATATGACTGCAGGATTACATAAGTGGAAAAGTAAGTGTTAAGGGAGAAAATTATTGAAAGATGACACTTATTTTAAAAGTGTCCAAATTAGATCACATTCAAAGAATTTAAATTATTCTTGATTTTAAATTTTTACCCACTTATAGAGTCTGGTCACTTTAACGTGACCACCGCCTATGTTCGACGTAAACCGTCCTCATATCCCTCACAGACGGCAGGTGGCAGTACTGATAGTGGAGGGTATATAAAGAGTGTCGGGTGAAAGCGGAAAACTGCAGTAGTTGTCGCAATACCAAAACGGAGTGATTTATCGGACGCACAAACGGGCACGAACATTGTGTGACGTCATGGATACTCACAGCGACCACAGACACTGAGCTTTCATATAACAAATATATTTATTAACAAAGAAAACAAAACAAATATATACACTTAATTTCTACTTACACCTAGCTCTGATAGACTACTATCCCTGATCGCGGAGCGATCCAAACCTGATTGAAGATCGCTTCGATTGTGGCATTCGCCACTACTACTTCTGAAGCGCGCACAAAGCTAGCTTCCGTGACGGATGTCACGCTGGGACATTAAGTCCGTTTCTGGCGGCACCAACGGCTGGTTTGCCTCGATCGCAGGAGGCGATCTTACCGATTGAGAATCGGGCGTGAATCGTGGCACTCAACCACTATCTCACCTCGGAGCACGCACACAGCATCGCTCCCTTAACCGCAGTCACCCAAGGACATAAAGCCCTCCGCAGGCTTAGTCAACTCGTGATCCGAGCCTCGCGAGCCTAGCTCGCATATGCACGGTCGTGGCGCCAAGTTTTGTGCAACAGCACGAGGTTCTCCGCTGTCTCCAGAAACCCACCCACCTGGCTCTGTACACTCCGTTATGTAGGCGAGGCCCACGTGACCTACTACGTCACGCCCCCGCTTGTTATACACAGTGAAAGGTTTCATAGGCCGAAGACCCCAAAGCTTGTGTCTCCCGTTTCCGCGTTCTTGGCCTTTAGGAAAAAAACTTCTTCCTGTGGAAGACTAATCCGCCAACCAAGCGTCCCCAAATAGATGCCACGACGCACGCTGGCTAATACGTTACAATTGGCTTTCGGGCAGAGGCATTTCCGAAGCGGGAAGTTGATAGATGTTCGCGTGCCGCCATGATTAAACGATAGCGGTTTCATGGCAGATGGCGGTATAAAAACTGGCGCCGAGACAACTGAGGCGCACCGCGGTCGTAGATGACAAGAGAGAACGTCGGCTGCGAGAATGAGTACGAGCGGATAGACATGCAACTGGCAGAGCCAGTGACCACCAAATGAACCAAAGGGTTATCAATAGGGTCTCAAGAGCCGTTTAGCGAACGTTGCTGCGTCTGGGCCCTCGCACCAGGCGCTGGTTCCTGCACCCACGTTGATGCTGTGCATCGGCGACTAAGGCTGAAATGTTTCACATCAATACCGCAACTGCGCAGAACTGGCAACAGTGGCCTTTTCAGATGAATCACATTTTTATCCTCCATCAGACAGATAGTCGTTGGCGCTTACGGTATGAACATAATGAAAAAACATTGCAACAATCACCGAACGGGTTCAGGCCGGAGGAGGAGCATAGTGGTGGTGGGAATGTTTTGGTGTCTCAGTGATCTCAAAATTCTGGAACACAATGGATCAACAGAGGTATGCATCCATCTTTGGAGGACCATGCACCCGCTATAAGAAGATGTTTTCCTCGCCTGACGCAATTTACCGGCAGGGCAATGCAACCGTGTCATACAGCTCGCAGTGCACGTGTGTGGCTTCGAAGAGCATCACCGATGAGTTTACAGTTCTCCTTGGCCCAAAACTCCAGATTGAAACCCAATCGAGAATCTGGTGGGACTACTTCTATCAGGCAGTTCGCGCCATGGATCGCAACCTAGCAACGCATGCAACCTAGCTCAGGTGCCTGGAGTCGGCATGGCTCCGCATACCTTCAGTACTATTCAGAACGAAATTGACTCTCTTCCTGTACGTCTGGAAGTGATCACCGCTTCAAATTAGGGTTATTAAAGCTTTGACGGGTGGTCACGTTAATGTGTCTGGTTTTGTGTAATAACTTCTATGTAGTTCGTAATTTCTAAATTTAAAACGTTAGACTTTTTTTAAAAGTGAAATAATAAATCAGAGTATCATCTCCAGCTAACCGTCACACTTTCAAATTACGGTTATTAAAGATTTTGACGGGTGGTCACATTAATGTGTCTGGTCTGTGTTATAACTGTTATGTAGTTCTTCATTTCTAAATTTAAAACGTTAGACCTTTTTAAGTGGAATAATA